TACAGCAATCGTATATTTGGGTACCGTTTCATAAAACTTTTATGCTTAAAATGTTTAGGGAGAAATGGAAGACTGGTGTGTATTTTTTCTCTAAACTACCAAGACCAGCCATACACAGTACAGTTTACGTACATACAGTACATACATGTTTATGTTCCTAAATTAATATCGTTTATGACCTTCAGATGCGTTATGCTCCCCTTCTTTTTATGCTCGGCTACTAAAATTTCACTTTAGTGGTAAAATTCCATATAAATATTCAAAACTAAGCGGATTAAAATGTGCACAGTAAAAACATTAAATAATTAAATCTTTTCACTACCAACCAATGCACCACGAGTGCCTCTGTCGGTCATTTTGGCCAGCCAATCACTTACTGCGGTGCCCTGCGGTGGCTTGTGGGTAGTTTACCGTTCCGCGGGTTTGTACCGCGCATTTTGAATGGCTGCATCTGTACCTTATTTCTGTCTTTGTGCTATCACTTTTTTGTGTGGTATGCTTATTTAGGAAGAGAGTGGGCAGATTTTAGTCATGTCCTTTATAGTTGGTACTTTTTGTATGTCTGCTTCATAGTATGCTGTAACAACCATGTTTTTTCTATCTCTTCTTCATTCATAGAGGGATCAAATTTCCGCAATGTTTTGGATAAAGCTGTGCAGGCAGACAAAGTGGTCAGAGAACGTTATCACACCCACTGTGATATGATTGCCCTTCTCTGCAAGCCCGAGCCTGAACTCAATGCTGCAATTCCCTCTGCCAATCCAGCAAAAACCCTGCAGGGCAGCGAGGTGAGCTGATATGATAAAAAAAAAGCAGGCACCTAACTGGAGAAAATGTGCAGATGGCTAAAAGGTCTTATCGAACTTTAAGCTGCTAAATAACCTGAGCTCTTGTCAGGTTCTAACAGTGTCTGTCCTGGTGTCAGTTCCATGGAGAGAAATATGTATGCTGGTAAGCACTTATAATAGTACCATCCTAATCAAAGGGCTTTCTGCAACACGATACAGCTTAAATGCTATAGCAACAACACAGGAAAGCACAGAAGGCTGGTAGGTCAAACTAAACTCATAAATAACATCACTTTACTACTGAGAAGTTGAGATTTGTTAAATTGAACACTTTCTTCAAAATAACACTGACCTCAAGGGACAGTGTGTATTTGTTTTCATTCAACCCAAACTCTTGAAAGAATTCTTAAAAGGAATAATCAAATTAACAGCTCAGTCCTTTTCCTCTATATTTGTAATTAATAGAATTTAAAATCAGCTTAAAAATTAGCGTTCAAGAACCTGAGATCTGCAGAGCTTGCATTTACAGAAATGTTAAGGCGATATAACCTAAAGAACATTACTTAATTCCTATTGTTTTGAGTTTATATGATAAAATTATTTTGGGGGGAATTCAGTACTTTAGCTTTTCTGTGCAAACCCACATACATAGGATGTTTTTGAAAATTGTCTAGATTCCCAAGTTCACTATAGTAGATTTTATTTTAAGGAGAAATTTTGGCCCTGGAAAACTTCATCTGGCTTACTTGGAAATAGCGTAAATCCTAGCAAAAAGATTTGCATTCCATGTCATCTGGTCTCATTGTTATTTAAACGTAACACCAGTAAGTGACATGCTAATAAAAATTCTATGTCCTAATATTCTTCTTTTAATGTAGGAACTATGTTGATTTCAGGTTGTAGGAGTACTCCGGTCTCAATTGAGCAAACTTGATGAGGTGAAAAGGGAGAGGGAGCAGTTGGAGAATGACGTCAAGTCAGTCCAGTTTGACATGACCAGTAAGTTTCTGACTGCACTGGCTCAGGATGGTGCCCTTAACGAGGAGGCTATCTCTGTAACAGAGCTTGATAACATCTATGGTGGATACACCCAGAAGGTGCAGCAGAGTTTGAAGACCCAAGAGGAGATTCTAGGAAATATACAGGTCAGTAATCATCTTAAAAAAATAGTGCTGGGAGTGTTGTATATTGTTACTTTTGCTGAGCTAGTATACTTTGAGCTAAGAACTTGGATGGCTTTTGGACTTCCCAGTTGATTGAATCCTTAGGATTTTCTGTTATATTGCATAAATAAACAGAAATGGAAAATGTTGTTTGGCTACAGGATATCAATTCATTGTGCAGAAGCTGTAAAACACAGAACTGCTCGATTGAAGCTAACATTTCACTATAGCCTTACCAGAAAAAATGTGTGCTTGTTGTCCCAGCTTTATGGATAAAACTCCAGGATGATGTTTAGCTGCTTTTGTATAGTAATTTTTCTCTTGTGCCATTAAGCTTATTATCAGTTTGTCAATAAAATCTGTTGAACATTCCAAAGAGAATTAATTTGTCTTTGATTGTCTTTGATAGACATCTCACCAGGAGTTTTCTGCAATGAAGCAGTCAAACACAGATGCCAAGGAAAGAGAGGAAGTGCTGAAGAAACTGGCCTCTGCTCATGACAGCTATGTTGAGATCTCCAACAATCTGAAAGAAGGCACCAAGGTTGGGAATTTCAGCTTGTCAGGTGGAACTAATGACGCTGTAGCTGCCCTGGTTAATTTTGATGGAATATGATTTGTCCACATTCTTCTTTAGTTTTTTTCTATCATTGTTGTTTTCTTAACAACTCTCAACAGAGTTAACCAGACATAATGACTGGCTTTAAATGGTAATGAGTCATTGCAAACATTTAGACATTCTAGAGTGTCTAATGAATGTTAAAGGCATTTAGTTTTGCATTAGAATCTTTGACTTATTTTAATAATTATTCTTTCGTAGAGGAATCATATGTCAAAAGTAGAAAGATTTGTTTTTGTAGATTAGAATTCCAAGAAAGACTTTGAACAGTTTGGTCACCTTGCATTATTTCCCTTTAGTTTCTGTAAAACACTTGTTTCAAATTGTGAAATTCATAATTGTAAAGTATCAAAATATTTTAGAGGGATTTTATCATGTTTGATTCTAATTGATGTTTTCTTTTAGTTTTATAATGATCTGACTGAAATCCTCCTGAAGTTCCAAAACAAGTGCAGTGACATTGTTTTTGCACGCAAAACTGAGCGAGATGAACTTCTCAAGTAAGTTCTCCTGTTCCACAATGTAAACGTGTTTTGGAATTCTGCAAACTTTTTTTACATTTAAAATATTTTTTATTTTTGTGATATACTCTCAGTCTGTAATACTTTTACATCCATAAGTATACACTGCAACCCTGAAAACAAATACTTTTTTCTGAATTTTTTGTTTTTAGGTTGGGAATATAAGACATTTAGTTGAAAAAATAGTGTTTTTCTAAAGCCTTCAGTTAATTCTTTAAGGGCTCAGTTAATTACAGGAAATATATTTGAAGTGCTTTTACCAAACAGAAAATAAGACGTGTAGAAATATATTCCCTTCAGGATACACAAGAATAATTGGGATACTGAATTTTCTTTATTTACAGTTGTACTATTTATCTTGTATGGAAGAAATGGCAAAACTATAACTGTTCAGATATTTTATATATGTATTCAATTAAAGAGATAAATGCTTCATGTGTTTTAAAGTCTTTTGTAAGTGTTGGTTGTTGCTTGCAGGGAGTTACAGCAGAGTATTGCTCGAGAGCCCAGTGCTCCCTCTTTCCCTACTGTGCCTGCATACCAGTGCAACCCCAGCACTCCTACTGTTACTGCCTCTGGTCCTCCTGGAGCACCCACTCCAGCACCGAGAACTGTGTTTGTAAGTGCCCTGCCTGGGCTGCATATCAAGAATCAGCCCAACAATTCTGTGACAGCAAAATATTTTAATTGAGTATTTTAATTGTCATTAGGTTTGGACACTCTCATCTGTAGAACCTGTACCTTGTTTAAAAACAATTTTTTATTCGTGTGACATAAGGGTCTTTTAAAGTTCTGCGGGGTACTAAGCATCACATTTGCCTAATGTGTTTTGTCTAAAAAATGTAATGTGCTGGTGCATTGTTCGTTTTTTCATTTGCGTAGTGGTCACTTGAAGAGTATTGAAAGTTTCAAAAGACTCAAATGCGCAACGTGCAACCTATGTGTGTCAAGCTGATGTTACTTCAGTAACTAGGCCTATCACAGAACCTGAAGTTTTTTTAATTTTGTATTTGAATTTAATCAGTAATGTGGTCTATAATGTTAGTATAAAACTCTATCTGGAAAGAACAGTTTGCCTCTCACAGACATTATCTGTATATATACCCTTTTCATTTAAGAGTATATAAGGTTAAAAATAATCACATTAATTGAAATACTCATCTTTCTTCTGCAGCAAAGCAAACCCCAGCCCCCAGCGCGCCCACCTCCTCCTGTAATATGCAGTGCAGCCACCAGCACTAGCACACCTCTTCCAACTACTGTGGTGGCCAGCACTGATGCACCATCTGTCAGTACCACTCTCTCCATGGTGCCTCCTGGTGCCCCATCACAGGCTCAGGGTCCTCCGTACCCAACATACCCTGGATACCAGGGGTAAGTTTTTATTTCTTGCAAATCATAATGTGCAGTAGTTGCACAGAACATATTTCTAAGCAGTATTGATGCTACAGAGTCTTTACAAAATTTTTTATATAGAGTTCTTCCTGTAGTATGTAGAGGTTTTAAATCTGCAGAAGTCTAAAAAGAGCCTATGGTTGCTAAAAAAAACTAACATTTTTTGAATAACCGAACATTTCAGGCATTTTATTCCAGTAGGGACCAGGTACAGTACACACAGATTCAAAACTTAAAATTCTTACTCTGACTTTTTTTTTTTACCAGTTTTGTATCATTACTCTATGTTTCTTGTAAAAAATCAGGTCTTAACATCTAAATTTCTTTTACAGGTACATGCAGATGCCCATGGCCTACAATCCGTATGCTTTTGGGCAGTATAACATACCATACATGTACCAGGGCCCAGGACAAGGCAGTTTCCCTGGTGCCCAACCACCCCAGCAACATCCCTATCCCTACCCACAGCAACCCCAGCAGCCTTATTACCCCCAGCAGTAATGCATCCTTGCAGGCTACCTCTTCAGGATTGAAAATAACTCTCTAATGCTTACCTTATTTAGTTACATTTTCAAATGTGCTTGTATTATTTCTTTTTGTTGTTTCTTTTTCTAAGTTAATTCTGCTCATAGCACTACGTCAACTTGACTGTTTTACCAGAATGACACTAGGTAGAAATTCCAGATACAATCTCGTATATTAATTTTTCAAATAAAAATGGTGGCTTAGGAAATAGGATGCCTTCTTGTAGGAGAATTTAATACATATCCCTCACGGAGGGAAGACGGACTTAATCTGTTGTAGAATTTCACCTTGCAAATAAGTTGTATAATAAATGCCGGTATATACTGTAATTTAAAAAAAACATCCTTTGTTCTCTTTAGATGTTTTTGTTATATAAAATTATTTTGGGGACAGGCTAAGGCATGGAAGAACTATGTTATACAGATTACAGTCTATTTTTCCTTCCTCAATCTGTATGTTGGGTATCTATTGTTTTCTCTTGCAATCAGAACCTTGTAAATCACTAGGTAAATAAAAGTATATATATCTAAAATAACATTTATTGTTAACCAAATTATGATTGATCCTTAAGGGTTTTTTCTTATTTTGTGGCTGATTAAAAGATTAGTATATCATATTTCTTATTTCAAGGTCGTACCTGCTGGATGTCCTGCTTTGTGTGCTCCGTGTGATCTCATGTTCATTTTTTTCCTTAGACTGTCATTTGTAATTTTAAAACATAATATCTAAAACAGCTTTTGAAATATATTCTTGAAGGGGTTTTCCAGGAAGTGTGCAAGGGAGCGAATTATTTTCATACACAAATGAATGTTTTTACTTTATAACAGTGATACTGCATTTTGAGTCCTCTTTCTGATTTAAAAATATTCCTAAATGTTTTTTATTAATTGAAATTTTTCATTAACATGACACAGCACACAGAATACAGAAAAAGGAGGTATTGGTGATATATATTGTACTACACATTAAATCACATTTCAGGCACTTGTACCAAAACTAAAGGTAAACATTTTCTTCAGTCTTTTCTTTTGAAGAGTACTAAAAATACTGGAATGTTCTGAAATATATCATTTGAATGCTTAGTAAGTGATTGGTGTTCAGAAAAAAGGATTCCAAAGGGTAGGTAGTCAGAATATTTTATATCCTCAATACAGTGTTGACAATGTTGCTTCAATAATAAACCATTTTGTTGGAGAGAAAATATTTTTTTTTCTTGTGTAAGGTAAAGGTGATTGTTGAGCAAGGGTGCCCAGTCTTATCCAGGAATGCCAGTGTGTCTGTAGGTGTTCTAGATGTATTTAAAACAGCAGCATCTGAACTGGGAGAAACTGATAAATTAGTCCAGTTAAGCTGACAAACTGATTTGGTTTGTTAAAAGATTTATTGGAATGAAAGCCTGTTAACACACTTGCCCTCCAGGACTGGGTTAGAACACCCCTGGTATAGAGGTTTACTTGAGATCTTTTTTTTTCAGTTATTGATGTGTAATGTGTACATATAACAGGATAAACCCTAATGCAATACAGAATGTTTCTTGAAGTCATAAGATAAACCCTTCTGAAATTGTGGTCATGAACTTACATTACATTGGAGTCTAAAGTTGAAAAAAGTGGAAGTGAACCATCTGTATTCTCGGATACAGGTATGCTGAAATGTTGCTGTCTTTTATAACTTTTAAATGGCACCTTCAGAAATAGAGAGTTTTTCAATATCGTTAATTGATTTAATTTAAAATTAAAACCATGTCACTGCCTGAATGACATGCCAAAAAGTTCAGCATATGCAGGAAGATTATTTTGCTTAGCCAACCAAAATAGCAGTTGAAACTGTGATTAAAGAAGGACCTTTGAAGTTTTTGTGATGACTAGAAACTAAAGTAAACATTAATAACCTACCAGGATTTATTAAACAGTGGCAAATCCATCCTAGCTGAATAAGGACACAATATGTACCTTGAAGACCTTTTTTTCCCTGATCAAGGTTTTATTATACCTATTCTAGTCTGAAATGTCATTAAATGTCAAAGAATTCCTACTTTCAACAAAAGGAGTTTGAGAATAAATATGTTCACATTTAAAATTGCATTACAAATGTCAGGACACTTTGTTGCCACAACATGTCCCTGCACCATGCCAATTTTGTTTTTTGTTTAATCTAGCTGTAATGCAGGATATGGATGACAATGCAAATTGGTAATGAAAGAGAATTTATATTTTAAGCATATCAGAACAAGATGTGTATATAGTTTCCCCTAAGTAAATCAAACTTGCAATAAACCAAATTAGTTTTAAGTTGAGTACTTGGCTTTAGTTCTGGTGTTCACTTGGAGTAGCAAAGCAGTTAAAGCCAATATAGTACTAGGCAGAATCTCCAGATACAATCTTGTATAGTAATTTTCATTTTAAAATGGTAGCTTAGGCAATGAAGCCTTGTATGAGAATCTTAATACATACTGTACATGTATTAATCCATGTGTAAGGGTGGAATTTCACCTTCTTGCAAATAAGGGTTTTAATATTAACAATTGTTGGTATCTACTGTGATAAGATGAAAAATAACATCTGTTCTCTGTAAGATCTCTGTTATTGAAAATTAACAGAATCAGACAAGAACTATTAACTAAGAACTAAAAATATACTGACTGGTATTATATTGTTACTTCTTCAAGTTAGTTGGTTATCTGCTAATATCTGCTTATTCAAGTAAGATGGTCTGTTATAGTTGAATTCACACACTTCCTGTAGCATGCTTAACTGACAGATGTTACACATATCTCCTCACTGTTAATTCTTCATGAACATGTGAAAATAATTATATGTTGTTCAATACCTTATGTTAACTATTTACCTTTGCCTATATTACTCAGGATGCCTTACTCCAGTCATGGAAGGTCATTATCCAGTAGGTTTTATAGGATTAAAAAAAATCATTACACATTAATAACTTAGAAAAGTTGTCAAGCTGCTTCAATTAAGCCATTAATTGTTCAATTTAGATAATTAAGAGCCACCTGGAAAAATACCTTTCGCATAAATACCTACAGGTGCCTTACTGTAAATGTCACTGTTTTCCAAAGTAGGGAAATTCAGATATTTTCTGAAATTTATATTATATTTAAGTAGCTAAGAAGGTGGATTTACCAAAGTGCTGCACTGCAATTGATAGGAGGGTCCTGTGTTTGAGTATTCCTAATTTATATTAAATACTCAACCACGGTTGCAAGTTACTTGTTTAAGGCATTACTTTTTAAAATTAATAAACAGCAGGAAATATTGCTTTTAAGTGCCATTTGTATAGTAACTATACACACACTACACCAGTGATTCTTGGTCATTGTCCTCACATACCCCTGTGTCTGCTGATTTTGTTTTTGCCCTTAATCAGAAGTGGTAATTGATCTGCTTGCATTTATAGGCGTTTTCTGCACTGAGACCTTGGTTTCAAGATTTACCTAAAATAATTCCCTTTCAATTCAGGTCCTGGATCAGTGCTGCTTTTTTGCTACAGTTGCATTATTAATCGCAGACTAGTTTTTGATTCAATTTGAGGACTACCCTAATTTACATTTGCTATCTGAAATATAACCAAACGGATTTAAGTTGCACGGTGGTTAGCATTGTTACCTTGCAGAGTTGGGGCCCTGGTTCTGTTCCTGGGGTATTATCTGTGTGGAGTTTGTATTTTCTCTATATGTTAAAGTGGATTTCCTCTGGTTGCTCTGGTTTCCTCCTACAGTCCAATAACATACTGGTAAGTTAATTGGGTTCAGAGAAAATTGGCCCTAATGTGACTGTGTGTGTTTGTCTGTGTGCCCTTCTATGGACTGGCATCCCATTCAGGGTGTGCCTTGTTGCTTGCAAAGATAGGCTCCAGCTCCCCCACAATCCTGAATTGTATAAAGTGGTAGAAAATGGATGGACTTGATGGAAAGGAAAACACTGGCTTTAGAAGGTGTCCGATACAATGTAATTCTCACCCATGTCTGGTTCCATACTTGATTTTAGTCTATCATCAGGTGATCAAATGTTGAGATATTCAGTCAGAAATAAGGGAGAGACCTGAAGATGTTGGGACACGATGCATTATAGGGTATTTTTGAAACCAAAATACCAAAGACCAAGTGCAGTAAAAGTCTAAGCAAGTGGATCAGTTACAGGAAATTAGCAATTGTGATCATGGGCTCAGTAGGAACAAAGGCTAGCAGACACAATGATACTCTGGTAACAGGATTGATAACTACTGGACTACATAGGTCACAGAACCTTATCAGGGTTTTTAAAATGAGTTCCTTCCCAACATCTTTACGATAAACAGTAATCTCTTGCACAGATATGAAAAATCCCAGCACTGTTTATATACCATCTTTTATGTACAGGAATCCCAGAATGCTTACATATCTTAAGACAATGCTATTTCCATAATTATTTTCCTCTGTGAGCCTCAAAAGTTTTCATCCATCTTTATCGTCTCGAGAAGAAACTTCTGATGATCTTTAGTGAAATCCTTGTTCCACATTTTTTTAGTCAAAATTTCAAAGCTCAGTAAAATCAACCTGAGCTGATCAAAGCCAATAGTTAAGTGTATAAGATCACAATTTCAATTAAGGGTGGTGAGTTAAGTTGATTAACAGTGTTGTAGACTGGGTTTTAAAACTTGAAATTCCTTACAATATCTGACAAGTAAGCCCTAGGATTTAAGAACTTGAGTAAGATGTTCCTTTAAGTTTAGATTCTTATCAGTCGGTCCTTTCCAGCTTTATCATGGGAAACCAGACAGAATGCCAGTTAAAGCCCGTGAACCAAATTCATTGAAGAATTATGGCCATGTCTTCTCAAAAAATAGTCTGCATCATCCAGAAAACACTGAACAGAAATGGTTCAGAATCCCAGATCAAGGCTTGCTCTTGGCACAGGTGGAAGTCTGTAATCTAGACTTAGAGATGTCTGGGTCTTATCTTTAGATGACTGTGACCCCGAATTCCCCCAATGCTGGTCCACATTTGGTTTTGTAGGGATAGTAGGTAGGAAGATCATTGACCCCTGAATCCTTCCAGATGCCTGCAAGCTTGCCGCAATGTTGAGAGTGATGCATATTCCATCCAATTAATAGGGATTAGTTTTATTTGTTACACCCAAACTAATTCCACCTTTACCATAATGCAACCCCTACCATGGTGCAGTTGTCAAGGTTTCACAGTAAGAACAATCAGGAAAAAGTACTGGTAGAGGTCATTACCACATCACATTTTGTTATGTTAATGAAGGCCCTGCATGGAAAGTAATAATTTCTGATTGCTAGAAAGTGCTACATTATTAATAAAGGCACAGGGGCATACCGTATAAATGGAGCAAAATTTGAATTGGCAATGATTTGGAAATATACATGGTGGTGTACAGTAAAGACTTTATTTTTCAATCTAACATAAAATTTAGAGTTAAAGATGGTGATACTTTTGGAATACTTTTTCGTTTTTTTGGTTGGCATGTAAACTGTTTTTTTAAATTAAGTTGGTGGAAATGGTCCTGATTTTAGTACATTTGTATATATACTGTATGTAATATCTGCATAATATCCTGTGATTTAAGTCATAAAGGTCAGTATCGTAAAGTATCGTAAGCTTCAATAATTACTCAATGCTTAATGCTCACACATTGCATTAATTTCCTTCTCTTAAGCATGTTTGTAGAGATGGAGTTGGGGTGCGCACCTAACTGCACCAGTTTGGATATACCAGATGGTAAATGTCTGTCTAGCAGCTCTACTCTTCACTAAGGGTGCAGGGTACAGTATGTTGCCGTGAGGTAAGACATAAAGAAATGATTTATAATTTCAAATCATGTGTGTATGTAATAAAAATGTATGGTTTTAACCTACAAACAGGTCAATGATTTTTTATTTTAATGCAACTTATTGTCCATAACCTTATTTTTCCACTTCATTAAGGGTCTGAATGAGATTTCATGAAGTATTTATTTCTAATAATACTGTATAAAATATCAGTTACAATTTAAGTGTTTGGAAGTTTAACATAAACCATTCACAATTGCAGAACTCAAGTTCAATACATAATTGCACATTTCATATATTTCTATTATTGAAAAATCAATAACAGATTAAAGAAGCCACTATAAAAAAATCATATTAAAACAATTTCCCTCCATCTTATTGCATAGAAGTATCAGCAGGTGGAACATGACATTT